GGGTACGGGGAATGGGCTACCGGGGGGGTTTGGGTCATCAGTGTCACCCCCGAGGGCTACCGGGTACGGGGAATGGGCTACCGGGGGGGTTTGGGGGGCACTAAGGGGGAATTTGGGGTGCTAAAGGAGGTAATAGGGATCCCCCAGGGAGAATTTGGGGTCCTCAAGGTGGGGTTTGGGGGATTCTGAAGGGGGTTTGGGGTGCTAAAGAGGGGATTTGGGCTGCACAAGGAGGAATTTGGGGTCCCCAAGGGAGGATTTGGGGTCCTCAAGGGGGGATTTGGGGTCCCCAAGGGAGGATTTGGGGTCCTCAAGGGGGGATTTGGGGTCCCCAAGAGGGTGACAGGAGCTCCTGGGGACTCTCCAAGGGGGTTTATAGGGGATATTCGGGGGTCTCAAGGCTGTTTTGGGGATCCTGGGGGTATTCTGGGGTCCCAGGGGTGTATTTGGGGTCCCTGGGTGTATTTTTGGTGTCCCCGGGTGTATTTTTGGTGTCCCCGGGTGTACTTTTGGGGTCCCGGGTAGATATTTTGGGGTCCCTGGGTGTATTTTTGGGGTTCCTGACCTGCTCTCCCCCTCCAGGTGCTGGTGAACGGGACTTTCTACGAGGAGTTCCCGCACCGGCTGCCCCCGGAGCAGGTGATGAGCGTGACCGTGGACGGGAGCCTGCAGCTGCACTCGGCCTCGGTGCTGGGGGGCACGGTGAGAAAAACACCCCAAAAACACACCCTGAACCCCCAAAAACACCCCTGAACCGCAAAAAATACCCCTGGATCCCACAAACCTGCCCTGGATCCCACAAACCAACTCTGGGACCCAAAAACCGCCCTTGTGCCCCAAAAACCGCTCCCAAAACACACCTGGAACCCCCAAATTCCACCCCAAGCCCCACCCCACACCCCAAACTCCTTCCCCCAACCTCCTCATTTCCCCCCCCCCGTACCCCCAAACCCACCTGGTGACCCCCCCAAGTGTCCCCAAATCCCCCGTACCCCAAAATCTCTCTGACCCCCCCCTCTCTCCTTTGCAGGGCGCGGGTCCCCAGTGCTGCCCGGTGAGTCCAGGGGGGGATTTTGGGATCCCCAGGTGGATTTTGGGGGGCCCAGGTGGATTTAGGGGGACCCCAGATGAGTTTTGGGATCCCCAGGTGGGTTTTGAGGGTCCACAGGTAGATTTTAGGATCCCCAGGTGGATTTGGGGGGTTCCTAGGTGGGTTTTGGGATCCCCAGGTAGATTTGGGAGTTCCCCAGATGGATTTTGGGGGGTCCTCAGGTGGATTTGGGATCCCCATTTGAATTTTGGGGCCCCCCATGACCACCTTTCCCCCCCCTCCCCTCAGGACATGCCCCAGACCACCCCCGCGTACCCCAACTGTAACCTGCCGGTAAGTGGGGAGGGGTCCCCCAAAAACTGACCCCCAAAAACCCGGGGGGGGTTGCTGGGGTGTCCCCCCCACCCCACTGACCCCCGCCCTGTGCCCCCACAGGTGATGGGGCAGCCCCCAACCCTGCACCCGGTGAGT